AGTGAGCTTGATTCAGAATTTAAAGGTAGAAAATAGTGTCATCATTTTTTAATTGAACACCATTGGCATCTGCCATAAAACATATGCTTTAGCCACAGACTCCTCAATTGCACAATACTAAAAGAACAGTTATTCAACTAACGATTCGAATACTTAAACCAAAAACAAAAAAATTCTTAACAGTTATAAATTGGTGGACTAAACTTAGACAAGTAAAAATAAGTTTTGAATTTCATTACCAAGAACACCAACTAAACTAGAAGAAAAACAATATTGATACTATTAACAGAGAATTTGAAATACAAAATACCTTTTGAATAACCGAATCTTGAGCTGACCCCGAAGAATATGGAAGATTTGTGCCTCTTACAGCTTGTGCTCTACTTGCATCAATAGGTGAAGCAAGGTTAGATCCAACACACCCTGGTATATCTTGAAAATTCAATCCAGGGTTGTTTTGCAGCAATTGAGTGAATAAATATCGCATTTCTTCTCTCAATTCTTCCTTTAGAGAAGTGATTTCATCGGCATGCTTTTATTTTAGATTGTTAATTTCCTCATCTTTCTTCAAAGAACTTATTGTCACTGATCTACCATAGCACCTAACTCGACCAGGCTACTCCTTTCCAAACACTGCCCTAAATGCATCATCAACTGTTTCCCCAGAATTTTGGCGATTTTGAAGTTCAGCCTATTGAATAAAATTGGCATCCATAGTGAATTGTAAGTACTATTTCATTTCCAATCCAATGATAGCGATCAAGCATTAAAACATTATGAAAAATTTTCGTAAAAAATAATTAAACAATGTCGACAAATTGATATCTCCTCGAACTTGCACAAGAAGAAGAAGAAGAAGGCATACGTGATTAAAATTTAATGTAGTCAAACTCCCCAAAATATAAATGTTAAGTCTGAATAAAGTTCACTAATAATCCTCTTTAAAAAACTTACTATTGCAACTTGGGTATCAGCCTGGATTTCCTTTTCCGTCTTGGTACGAGTTGCAATAAATTTTTCAGGCTTTGATGGTTCTTCGTTGTTGTCTTTGGCTGCACGCTACATATTATATCAAAAGAAATTTTAAAGAATCAGTAAGTTCTTATAAAGTACAAAAAAATAAAAATCAATTTTTGTATGAAATGTCAGCTAAGTATTACCAATGCCACGCATACTCTAGCAAAATTAAAAGGTCCCATTCGATGCCTCCACTTTTATTTTTTCCTGTTTTGAGAATTCATCTCGCATATAGCCTATTGTTTAAAACAAAGAGATAATTGAATTAATATGTATAAAAAGAATAGATATGACACAGAATTAGTCGATGAGTGGAAATGCACCATTTTAACGTTACTTGAACAGTTGGGTGTTTCCAATACTCGATCAACTGGCGGAATTGATTATGTGGAATGCCATCAAGACATTTTGCTAGCATATCCTCAAGGGTACTGTTTTTATCAAAAAAATTCTTTTTAATTTTTTGCTTGTGTCGCCTCCAAGCATTACAAACACCAGTCATCACCCACTTCTTTCCTTCTACTGGAAGTAGAAATTTGGACTATGCAAAATAAAATATATTTAGTTTCAGTAAGTAAAAAAAATATGAATTCTCAAGAGTGGTTGTTTTTACATTGACGTATTCCCACATGCGCTTTTTAGTATCCTTTGGCACCACATGCCAACTAGCGTACATCAAGCTGATGAATCTAGGATTCCTTACAATTGTTCCTATAAATTTGCTTATTTGTGACACTATCTTATTAGTTGGTCCCACCGCTTGTCCTTTATCAAATGTCACCTCCTTTATTTCTTTCAAATTTCTTGCATGAATATCCTTACATGTTGTATGTCCTCGAACTTTTTTTGGCATCGACATTTCTAGATTTATGTAACATACATGAAATAAGATATTTCTTTTATAATGAGTTCTAAATCTTACAAGGTTTAAAACATACCTTTTGTACTACAATCAATGTCAATTTCCTCTTCTTGTTCCACACGATAATCCAATCCTTTGTAATGTTCATTAATAATAGGAGTATGCATAAATTCGACATCACTTGTTGTGTTGTTGTCACGTGTTGTTTCATCATCTTTGTGTATCCCTTGATCTTTTAGAAACTGATCAAGAGTACTAGCTGGTATGACCGGCTTCCTCTTTACCTGTTTGCAATTCGGTAGATCAAGAATATCATGTCGTACCTCTCCATTACCTAGTGTTGTTCGAGTCGCATGTTCTGAAGCAGTAACATCTTTATTGAATGACGTATGGAACCTAGAATTAATCATAGGAAGTTTAGTTCCATTATCTTGAATGGACTCTTCAAATTGAAATAACCTCTGTTTAGTTTGTCATTTCCCTGCAATCATACGTGAGGTTCTAAGATCTTCCCTTGAAGACGATTAAATGACTGATTTGTGCCCAAGCAATTTACTCTTTCCTTTATGTGGAATGAAATCCTCAAAATTCTTTCTTTTATGTGATATTGGTGCCTCCTCTTTCTTAGCTTTATCAATGCGTTCATTTGCAAGTTGTTCTCTCTTAATCTTGAATTTGTTGGCCAATTCAGCACTTGATCGGTATTGCATATCAACATCAAGATTCTTCAATGGACTTTGAGATTTGTTTGGATTCAAACCCTTTTTCTTTAGCATTGTTGATTGATTCATTATTTTTGCTTTGTTTAAATATCTTCAATTTGTTTCACAAAATAATAAGATTGTTTAAGTGAAAGAAGTAGCATCAATGTAATTTTGATATATGGTTCACAGATGGATAGCTTATTATAGTAGATTGCAACATTTGAGTTTCTAAAATTTTCAGAATTTCTATAATATCCAAAACTTCCAAAATTTCCTGAATTTATACATTAAAGTACTGTATAATATTGCATAACTTATACAAAACAGAGGCCGTTGGATGCATCCACATTTAAAAACTGGAGAGCTTCTTATTACTTAAATTAATAAAGGGTAAAGAGTTGTACCTCTCTCAGAGCGACAAACTCGGGACAATGACCAAACCAGAAGCAACTTCAAACTACAGAGCTGAATGCCTCTAATGCCAATTGCCTGATAATAAAATGAAACCAGAAAGTATATAAATAACAAACAACCAAATCAAGCAAAAATTAGCTAGAAGTATAGGTTCCTCAATAAAATAATAATCAGATAAGAAGGAAAAATATTACACTCCACACATTAGATATATTAATGTATTTTACCAAAAAAACTATTATATTACAAAAACAGTGAGTGAGCACTATATGATCATCACAACATTAATGAAACTCATGGTGTGTCTTATTCAGACTCTTCTTCAGACTCGACTTCATCATCAGACTCATCTTCATACTCATTTTCAGACTCGTCTTCAAACGCATCTGAGAACTCATCTTTGTACTCATATTCAGACTCATCTTCGAACTCATCTTCAAACTCCTCTTCATACTCGACTTCAAGTTGTTGATTGACAAATTCCTCCACAGGCACATCAATGATTGTTTCTGGTAAATCAATCCTTGTTAAGAGTACTTCACCATTATATTTTGGTATAGATGGACCCTTCGAATGTTTAGATGGCTCAGTTTCATAACTTTGTGGGAGATTAGATTCAACTTCATCACCCATATTAAACAAGTATCTTGGAAAAGTCTTCATAACATAATGTTTATCTTGATCATATGGATCTTGCACATAGAAGCATTGGTGTACTTGAGATGTAAGCACAAAAGGCTCTTCCTGAGAGCATCTCTTGTTAAAATAGACATCTTTTTCAACCTCGTACCAATCACACTTAAATAAAACAACCTTAAAATGGCTGTAATATTTTAATTCAACAATATCAACTATTCTACCATAATAAGTCAAATCTGCAACAATCGGATTTTTATCCTTTGAGCTTGCAAAGCTTGTATTTGAGGCAATTAGTGTAACACCACTATTTTGTGTTTTACGCCTTGCATCACGCTGCCTAACATGGAATCTATATCCATTTATGAGATATCCAGAATATCTTTTTGCAACAGAATTTGGTCCGCTAGACAATTGTTTTATCAAATCAGGCACATCCTCTTGCAAAGCACGAGTTTCAAACCACTGAGAGAAGTTTTGACAATGATTCTTGGATTTTCTCCATTTAGATTTTTGTGACTGATTATTAACCTCTTGCTCATGCTCTCTACAAAACATTTACTATATTTGTTAAAATAATAAATTAAATAAGATAAAAATTAATTATACAAAAGGAATGCTATATTCAAATTAAGGTACCTAATATATTCTTGAACATCGTCACAATTTCCCAATAAGTATGCATGTTCCTGACTTAGTGACTTGTCATCTAAAATGATTGGATCAGTTTTCTTTGCTCCTAAAGGAACTCCTTCGTTAGAAAAAAAACTCACAGGTTCTGCGTGACTTGGGTCACATTCATCATTGTTTTGCGCTCTCCTATTAAATCTGGTATGCACACCCCGATGCAGATATTTTGAGAATAAATTCATGCAATCTATTCCAACTCGTGTCTCTGCTATGCAACCTTATGGAAAATGCCTATTGCGAATTTATGATTTGAATGTACCCATTTCTCTTTCAGTGCAATATATCCATCGGTATTGCACTGGGCCGCCTAATCTCACTTCATTCACCAAATGAATAGGCAAATGAATCATTATATATAAAAATGAAGGAGGAAAAATTCACTCCAACTGATTTACTGTTTCTACGATCTCTACTTCTAAGCAATCCAATTTCTCCAATGTGATTACTTTTTGGCACAAACGATGGAAGAAGGAACTTAGACGAAACAAAGGAACAGCCACATGATCAGGAAGAATACTTTTAATTGGTATTGGAAGCAAGTAATGTAACATGAAATGAGCATCATGGGTTTTATAATTAGACACCTTTCTTTCATCCAAGTGCACACACCTAGATATATTGGAGGCACTACCATCAGGTAGCTTGACTGTCTTTAAAACTCAAAAAAAGATGGATTTCTATCCATTTGTCATTGAGAAGCATGCCTTTGTAAACTTTGTTCTCTTACTATCTTCTGTATCTTGTGGATGAAGGTTCTTCCTCATTCCCATATCTTTCAAATCATACCGTGCTTTTGCATGATCCTTTGTTTTTCCTGAAATATCCAAAAGAGTTCCAAGTATGCTATCAACTATGTTCTTCTCTATGTGCATTACATCAAGGTTGTGACGTAACAAGTTGTGCTGCCAGTAAGGTAATTCAAAAAAAATTGACCTTTTTTCCTTGGGCCATCATTTGATCTCTTTTTCTTATTCCCAAACACATTTTCAAAATCACGTAAGCTATTAAGAACATCAGTTCCCTTTAAAGGAGCTGGAGGAGGCCTAAATTCAGTTTTTCCATTGAATGATCTTTTGTTTGATCTCCATGGATGATCCATCGGTAGAAAAACACGATGATCCATATAGTACATTTTCCGACTATGTTTAAGATAGCGAGAATTAGTGCCATAGTTACAACAAGGGCAAGCAAACTTTCCTTTTGTACTCCAACCAGATAACATAGCATATGCAAGAAAATCACTGATTGTCCACATAAGAGCTGCCCGCATTTGAAAAGTTTCATTTCTGGAAGCATCATATGTTTAAACCCCGGAATCCCATAATAATTTTAACTCGTCTATCAATGTTTGTAAGTAAATATCAATGTCATTTCCAAGTGATCACGGTCCAGGTATAAGTAAAGAAAGTATGGAATATTCAGATGTCATGCACATCCAAGGTGGCATATTATAAATCATCAACATAACTGGCCATGTGCTATGTGATATACTCATGGTTCGAAATGGATTGAATCCATTACTTGACAAGCCAAGTCTCACATTGCGACAATCTTGTGCGAAATCTGGATGCACCCTATCAAAGTCTTTCCATGCTAGACCATCAGCGGGATGCCTTAACTTTCCATCTTTAGAACGTTCCTCTTCATGCCACCTCAAAGCATCTGCCGTCTTTGAGCACATAAATAGCCTTTTGAGTCTAGGAATTAATTGAAAGTGTCTCAAAGTCTTTGCAGAAACTCGATGTTGTTTTTTTGAAGACTCAAGCTCACTATCAACTTTAGGAGCTTCAATATATCGTGAAGCTCCACAAGTATGACAAAATTCGTCATCCTTATGATCATTCCTGAAGAACATGCAATCATTTGGACATGCATCAATTTTATCATAATCCAGACCAAGATTCTTAACCATAGACTTGGTTTTATTGTAAGACTGAGGAATTTTAAACTCGGGCATCACCTCTTTTAATAACTCTAGAAGAGAAGTGAATGATTCATTGCTCCATCCATGTAAACACTTCAACAAATATAAGCGAAGTGTGAATGATAATTTATAGAAACCTATACAACCAGAATATAATTCTTGGTTTGCCTCTTCAAGTAAGCTATAGAATTTCTTGGCATCTTCATTTGGACCATCATAAACTCCTTCAGCCTGTGCAACATCTCTAAGTTGATCATTCAACAACACATCAATATCATCACACGAGTAATCCATATCATCATCAACATTCAACTTGATATCCCATTCCCCTGATTCATCCATCAAGTATAGCCTTTAACGAATCCATGGAACATTAGATGATCATACACTACATTCCTTCGGTTTCAAAGAATATTACAAGATTTCGCACATGGACACTGAATTTTCTCTCCATGAGGATCTCCATAAGAGTAAGCAAAATCTATAAATGATTCAATGTCATCAATATACTCTTTGCTATACCTTGCTAAATTCATCCAATCCTTGGATTGGATATGTGAACTCTTAGAAGATGATATCAATATTTAGTCTTTAAGCAATAATCATTAACCAGTTAACAAATACGTTTTAAAAGTCACGAGTAATCTATCAGAATCATGTGTTATGAGATTATAAAAGTTTCTTACCTAGTCATGAGGCTTTCGCTATGTCAAATCAAGCCCTTAATCCTCCACAAATGTTTTTCAATGTTGATGATACTATAAATGAAAAATAAGTACAATTAATAGGATATACATAAATCTGTCCATAGATAAATGTGAAGATTTTGAGCGAAGAAATGCAGAAGAGACCACCTACGGAGCTTGTGACGGTCTGTCGTGCTTGTGACGGTCCGTAGGTGGCAGCGTAGTGCAGCTGTTGAAGGAAGATGGGGAAGTCTAACTAATTGTGGGGTTACGGAGCTTGTGACGGTCCGTCGTGCTTGTGACGGTCCATAGGTGGCAGCGTAGTGCAGCTGCTGAAGGAAGATGGGGAAGTCTAACCAAGTGCGGGGTTACAGAGACCACGAAGGTCCGTCGAGTCTGTAACGGTCCGTCCTGCAGGTTAGTCATGAAGATCAGAGAAGTAATCCAGTACCCATATTCCAAGAGTTTAAGTGTTTTCGAATGATGAACCTCGACGGACCGTCATGTATGTGATGGTCCGTAGGTGGCAGCGTAGTGCAGCTGCTGAAGGAAGATGGGGAAGTCTAAGTGTGGGGTTACAGAGTCCACGACGGTCCGTCGAGTCTATGACGGTCCGTCCTGCAGGTTCGACATGAAGTTCAGAGAAGTAATCCAGTACCCATATTCCAAGAGTTTAAGTATTTTGGAACGAAGACCCTCGACGGACCGTCGTGTCTGTGATGATCCTTCATACTTGCCGTCGAGGGTAATGAAGAGAGCAGAAGTGTGGGACGACAAAGTCCATGACGGTCCATCGTGGCCACGACGATCCGTCGAAAAACCTCGTTTTTGAGGTTAGACTCCGCATTGTTAGACGTTGGATTATTAGTTAGACTCTTCAATATTATTAGGTTATCTTGAGACTTTTATCATTGAGTGTTTGTGATTTTTGTTGATTAATCAAGCGAACTTTAGGATTTTCGTCTTTCTCATAGAAGTAAGTTTGAGCGTATCACTCCCTCTCTACCCCTTCTAGACTTGAAAAATATATCCTATATCGTCTATCTCTAAGGCATATGATTCATTTTCTATATAGTGCAACTCCAAATACAAAGAAAGTTTAGCAAATTCATACTACTAGGTGATCCCAAAACAACTAAGAAATATTCAACTAAAGTTTCTAATGTACACTTGAAAATGCAATAGAGAAACAACAAATGACTTCTAACACTTCAAGGCATGTAGTCGAAAAAAGAAACATTTTACAAGCAAATAGCTACAAGACATAATCAATTTGGTTAACAAAGGAACAAACCAAGCTTAAGGTGAGCGCAACTATGAACTCAGGAAGACTAAAAAAATAGTGACATTAAAACAGACATTTAAAACTTTTCAAATTCATGTAGAGTAGCTACTTACAGTTGAAAAAATCTATATTAGGGACAAAATATCATAGGTATCGCCACTTCAACAATTTAGTTCTTTGAAGTAAGACGACTTAGCTACAACTCAGTTCTTCATATCAAAACCTAAAAGCTATAATTAAGACTTTTTGAGATAAAATTTCATACCTTACAAACACTGTTGCAACAACCCAAGATGTGAGGCGTGTTCATGTGTGAAACATTTTATTCATTTGTGAAATCCGACGGAACAACTCGTTAACAAAGAATCTGTGATGAAAAGAGCAACTCATCAATAAAAAATATGTGACAAAAATCACTTTCTTCAACACTTCGATCTTCAACAAGGAATCTGTAAACAATTTTGACAGAAAACTGTAAAGGAAATCGTATTTTCGTATTTGGGGAAAAAAACATCTTACACTAACAATGCTTGGAGCGTAGAATCAGTTGGTCAACATCTGCTCAGCTCAGCTCCTCTGATTTTTAGCTCCTCCAATTTTGGAGAGTAGAATCAGTTCAGCTCCTCCGATTTTCAACTCTTCTTCAGTCTTCAGCTTCCTCTCTTCATCTCCTCCGATTTTCAGCTTCCTCTCTTTGATTTTCAGCTCATTCAGTCGATTTGAAGTTCTTGAGAAAAGAAATCATGTGGATTTTTCAGCTATATTCTGGGGCGTATGTTCTTGAGCGTAAAAATCGTAGAAATGTTGGAGTGAATATAATATTTTGGTGAAATTTTATTAGGCCACACCTCTAAAGTGTTGTATTTACAATTGTAAAAATAGGACCCTTTAAAAGTGTGGTCATATATATAAATAATTGTTGCCATTAATTTCATACTATGACAACACTTAAAAAGTGTAACCTATACCATTAAAGGGTACACTTTACAAGTGTTGCCAATATTATCGTTGCCAGAACATAAAAATTTAGGCTACATTTTAAAAATGTTCTCAAAAAATTTTTAGGCAACACTTTTCAAGCGTTACTCAGATTTAGTGTGGCCATAGGCCTAAAATGGTGTAGTGTAAATTGTTTTTCATCTTTAGCGATTCCAATAACTATGTTGAATGTCTCTCCACATGAAATTTGGTCTTCAAGGTCAGCTTCACATCTATATGATATCCATCATTTCATTTGCTTCCAATATTTAAACTAAGCCAATACCGACATTGATATTACTGACAATTGATAAGAGACTTCAACTTTCCATACATATTCCTCAATACATTCTCCATATATCTCATCATTGGCATATATATTTCCAGGCAATGCTTGTTCAGAATTTCTTTCCTTGATTTCTTCGATAGAAGCAACCATATCGCTATTATGAAAATCTTCAAGAGTTCTTGCTTCATGTTGATGATATTAATGTCTTGCTTCTCCACATGGTTGACTGTATTGTGTTATGAATCTTCGATCCAATCTCTTTCAAGGTAGATGGAATTCATGGCATCTATTGCTCGAGCCTCCGCTACTAAACATTGTTCCCTATCTTCTTCTTCTTCAAGAACTTTTTGAGCCATATTGCTCTCCTTGGCTCGACAATATCTTTTTATATGTCTAACATTACCACATCGGTAGCATTTGAGAGACATATTACCATAATTATTAGAAGATTATTCCTTTTCTCCAGGCTAGCTTGAAACAGCCGAGCATCGGCAGTACGACATATCTCTTACTTTTCCTTTGAAGTTCCTCTTGTGAAATTCTCATTAAGAACATCTCATAAATACTCTCCCACAAGGTATGATTCCATACATGCCTTCCATACCTTATAATTGGACTGATTCAACAACTCAATCCCCAGTCCATTAACATCGCTGCTAAAATCCATCAACGCAAACTAATTGAATCTACCACCAACCCGATATTGAAAGAACACTTGCAATCCAATCTAGAGATATGTAGAGAATAAAAGAAGAATAGTATAATCATGAAACCTTCTCCTATACCAAGATCGTTAACTAAGATCGGAAAATTTAGCTAAAGACGAGGAAGCTAGAAAGGAGGAATTTCGTTTATGAAAGAATACTCTTTTATTAGGTTGTTCTTGGTTTGATGAGTTGTTTACAAAACTGTACAAGACTGCCAATATTTATACTTGTCCATGGATGGTTCAAGAAATTCTTTGAGATACTTCTACAAAGAAACTTCTAGTGAAGCTTTATCTTGTAGATATTTAGATATTTTTTAAGATAATTATCCTAGATATTATCCTACACTATTCTAGAAACATTACTAGAACAATCTATCATATTCCCAAAAAATAAACTTTGACTTTTTTCACACTCTGTGTATAAGCTAAAACTTTATACACTAAATCATCTACTATAAATGTTAAATCTAAACACATGGTTAATAGTATATCTCTCAACAATCTAGCACTAAGATTTTTAACCATCACGATTGTTATAATGTATTATATTTAAATGCATGCTTAATAGTATACATCCCAACAATATATATCCCAACAATCTCCCATTTAGACTTTTAACAATCATAATTTTTATAATATACTGTATCTAAATGCATGGTTAATAGTGTATACCCTAACAATCTCCCACTAAGTTATTTAATCTTGAAAATTGTTAGAAAACTATTTATAAATACATGATTAATATGATATATCCTAATAACCTCCCACTTAGACAGTTAACAATGCATTTACAACTTTTGTAGATATTTCTTTTATTTTTTTAATCAAAAGGATTTTACCAAGTTGTTTTCTTATGCAACTTCGTCTACTACTAAGTCGTAACTTACCGATTTTGTATTAGATCTTTAGAGGCTTTATCATGAAACCCTTCAAAAACTTACTTCTTTACATGATTTTTGTTATGAAATTCCTCTTAAACAACAAACCAATCAATCTTTATTATGATTATCTCACTACGACTAAGTACTAGTATTATAATCACACTTTCATGTTCTTGAGTTTTAATATTTTCTTCAAAATCGTTCGATATGTAAATGTTTACAACTTTTCATGAAGTGTTCTTTTAATTTGCTTAACATCAGTTCAACTACTTGAGATACTAGTTTTCTTATGTCTAGTAATGTTTCTCCAACTACATAAACACAATGAAACATCAATTCTGACATGCCCATTAGATTATCTTGAGCGTAAAAGTTTATAACTTACTCATTTTTTATTCCTTTGTTCAATTCGTATAAAACTAATTTAATTTAAGGATATTGGTTTAGTAAATGATCCTTTTCTATAAATCAAACAATTGTGTTAACAATTGCCTTATTTTCTTTAGATCATTAT